TTTCTTGTTTCCTCTTATTCATGTGACCTATGACGACGGTGGTTATCTGGTTATATAATGGCTTTTCCGCATGCTTTGACTGCTGATGGTGTGTGTTCTGATTGTTTTTTTGCTATTTTTTGCATCTGATCTGCGTCGACTGTGTGAGTTCCCTTCATATTCATTACATGTTACTTGATCTGCTCAGTTATCTAGTATTGGCGTATTTCGCTTCGATTTGCTATTCTTAGTTCTGTACGGTTACCTACATATGCGCCTTTCCCTCATCATCTGCCCTATTCTTCTTTGCCCAACCTCAGCATCGTCACTCGATGTCTTTAGTCTATGTTGCTTACTAGCAGTATAGGTGTGTCAATCCGTTTCTTTTTTGCTTCTTCTTATTTAGTGCGTTATTAACATTTGTGGTAGTTTAGGTTTGGTTTTTGTGCGACGTAGAGTGCTGATAAGAGGTAGAGTTCGGGAGAGAGGTAGAGGCAGACACACATACTCATAGAGACATATCCACAGCCACACACACACACACAGAGCAAACACACACACACAGAGCAAACACACACACACACACACACACACACACACACACACACACACACACACACACACACACACAGAGCAAACACACCAATGCCGACGCTGCCACCGCAGACAAGAACGCTCTTGCCACGAAGCGAAGCGAGGGATTGCTGGCGAGAGGGCTGCATCTGCAGCACAGCCACCGCGGCAACAGCCACCAACACCCCCACCACAACCCGAAAGGACACCATCGTCACCGCTGTTGTTGTTTGCAGTGAACGGCTGTGACATGTGATTAATTGACCATCGAATCCAAAACAACGACGATGGACATGAAGCGAGGCGCGAGCAGTGGCTCTGTCGGCAAAGCTGGTGGTGGCGGTGGCGATGGTGGCAATGGTGGCGACGATGGGCAGCAGCCACGGAAGCGGCCACACGTCGTCTCGTCGTCGTCGTCGTCATCATCATCGTCACCCTTGCCGCCCCCGCCCAGCATCAAGGCAGGTACGTCAACAGCTGCGAGCATCGCAAGCGGCGGCGCAGATCAGCACCCACAGAAGCGTCACCTACAACAACATCAACAGCAGCAACAGCAGAAGCCTGCCACCTTCAAGCGGCGACCTCGAAGGAAGGCGCCGTCGGCAACAGCTGTAGCAGGGACCAAGCGAGGCAGTACACCAAGCAGTACAAGGGCGAGCACCAACCCATCCCCAACACCACAACAGCCAACACCCAGCGCTATCTCAGCACAGGCGCCTCCTCTGCAACACCCCATGCCAATGATGTCTGCACCGCCACCTGCGCGTCGCCGACCGCCGAGCGTGTACGATGTCGACCCCGCGGGGCCAGGCTACCGATCGACACCCGTAGCATTGTCCTCGTCTTCGTCATCCATGAGAGCTGAACAGGGACAGCAGGCTTCCAACCCCATGCCTCTCCCAATGCCTCGCCAGATAATGCAGCCCCAGGCACGGCCACCGCCAGCATCAATCCTCCCCACGCCAAACGCAAGCCACGCGAACGCTCGTGTGCCTGCGGGGCTCGAGCAGCAGGAAGCGCCTGTGGTCGATCCGTCAACCTCCGCGGCGTTTGCAACCAGACCCATTGTTTCACAGCAGCGCACGCAGCTCCGCGTCCTGACAACCAGCGACACGCAGGACAACGAGTTCAAGCGCATGAAGGTTGACGCGCTGCTGAGTCTCCTGGACGCGGAAGGGATCCAGGAGCATGTCACGCCGTTGCTGTGTGCACTGCGCCTTGCCTGCCGCACAGCACTCACGCCAGCGCAGGCGACGTCAGTCCTGCAACTCGTCGTGCGCCTCAGCAGCACCTCGTGCGACGCCGACACAATGTGCTTGCTCCTGGCCACGGCGAAACAGGTGCTGGCACATTCGTCGCAAAGCGCCCTGCCACGCACCATCATCAACAGCATCGGCACGTTGGCCCTGAACACACATGACCAGCCGCTTCCCTCAGTCCGCCGGCGTGCACTCAGCCTCCTTCCCTTCTGCTACGCGGCCGCTTCACACGGCCACCAGCAACGCCATGCGCCGGACACAAGCGAGACTCCCCACCGCCGTCCCAGCAATGCGCAGCAAGCACATGAGCGAGCCACAGCATCAATAGGCGCCGCTGCTGCCACTGCTGGTGGTGGTGATGGTGGTGGTGGTGGTGGTGGTGGTTGTGGTGGTGGTGGTGATCAACGACATGGAGGCATCGACACCGTCAATGGTGACAGCGTTGGTGGCGGGTCTGTTGGTGGCAGTGGTGATGGGACGGCGGCACCACAGGCACAACACACAGCCTCGACATCGCCACTTTCACCACCGACAACAGCAACATCAGCGACAGAGGCAGCAGGGCAGCTGACCCCGCGGTGTGTGACTGACGCCATCACGCTTCGATTACAAGACGAGGACCCGCGCGTGAGGAGCGATGCCCTGATTGCTCTGCGACAGCTGCTTGTACATGGGCTGCCGCCTGCGCCACACCACTGGCCGCTCCTGAAGGCGCTGCTTGGCGACAAGCGCACCACGATTCGCCAGCACTGCCTGGAGTGCCTGGCCGTGTTTCTGCCGCGGTACCAGGAATGCCTCGCTGCCGCCACACGACAGCAAGAACAGCAGCAGGGCAGTAGTGGTGGTGGTGGCAATGCGGGCGGTGATGAGCAGCACCTCGACACTGATGATGCGGTAGTGGGGCATGCAGGCAATTCATCACCCGCTACAACCAATGCCAACAAGCCCAGCAACACGCACAACAGCAGCAATAACGGTGCCAGCGATACCAGCAACAGCGACACCACCAATGGTGCGAATGGTGGCGCAACATCCCAACCAGCATCAGCACCAGCACCACCAGAGGCATCGGCAGCAGGAGCAGCTGATGCGATTGTGAACGACGCGTTTGTGTCGCTGTGCGACCTGGCAACAGACATCTCCTCAGCGGTGCGAGCGGCCACGTTCCGCGCACTCTCGCACCTCCGCGGGGTGTCGCCGGAGCACGTGTTGCAGACGCTGGACAAGAAGCTCATGTCACACCTGCGCACACGTAAGAGCGCACACGAGGCGCTGAAGGAGAAGCATGGCACGACAAAGCGGGCTGTGGAGCAAGCGCTGAGTCAGCAGCCACCGCAGGGAGACATTGACGTGCACGACATCAGCATCATGTCTGCGGGCGCGTGTGGCGCATTCATCCACGGGCTGGAGGACGAGATACACGAGGTGCGACTGGCCACACTCGAGACGATCCGCGTGCTGGCGCTCAATTACAAACCGCTCGCCCTCAAGTCGCTGGACTTTCTTGTGGACATGTTCAACGACGACATTGATCGCGTGCGCGTGTGTGCGCTGCGCGTGATGACAGACCTGAGCGCGTTCTTCACGCTGCAGGAGGAGCAGGTTGACATGATGCTGGGCATTCTGGATGACGGCAATGCCACTGTGCGGCACAGCGCCCATCGCCTCTTTGGCGCATCGCGCGTTGTCAACCACAACTGCTTGCACGTCATCGTCGCCAGCATGCTGGCTGCGCTCGCGCGGTATCCTGAGGACCACATCTCCATCTTCCACTGCTTGCGACGCCTCGGTGCGTCCCACCCCACGTTCACGGCGTTCCTGTGCCCGACGCTGCTTGGGTTCAGCCCCCACGTCCTCAGCGCAGCCGCCGGCGTTGAGGACAGGGCATACGTTGCGCTGTTGTGTCTGGTGTGTGGGGCATCTGCCTCGCAACCGCGCCTGCTTCGTCTCCTCCCGTCGAATGTCATTGACCACTGGCAGCAGCTTGCTGTGACGCTTCCACAGCTCTTCTCTGCTTCACAGACCCAGCCACGGCCAACAAAGCGTCAGCGTAATGGTAGCGACCGTGGCAGTGGAGGTGATGGAAGTGGTGGGAATGTGCTGCTGGAGAACAAGGCTGCGTTGCGAGCGGCGCTGACGCATTTGCAAGCGGGGCAGTATGCGCGGGGATTGAAATGCCTGCATGCAATGCAGTCGCGCTTGCATGGGGTGTGTTCCGGCAGTGCCCTGGCAACGGCAGACGCCCGCGTGTTACTTCTCTACCACTACATCACCATTCTCTCCGCCACATTTCGAACTCACCAGGTATACTGTGTGCGCGCGGTGTGCATGCGCGCGCGCGCGTGCGTGTGCGTGTGCGTGTGCGTGTGCGTGTGCGTGTGCGTGTGCGTGTGCGTGTGCGTGTGCGTGTGCGTGTGCGTGTGCGTGTGCGTGTGCGTGTGCGTGCGTGTGCGTGTGCGTGTGCGTGTGCGTGTGCGTGTGCGTGTGCGTGTGCGTGTGCGTGTGCGTGTGCGTGTGCGTGTGCGTGCGTGTGCGTGTGTGTGTGTGTGTATGTGTGAGCGAAAACGGAAGAGAGCTGGTCACGGGTCGTGCGATGTATGCTACAACCGAGCGCCCAGTATCCTCTCCCCGCTTGTGCGACGCGCTGCTCTCAACCTTATTTTTCTCTCACTCCATCGTCATCACCGTCATCTTCACCATCATGACCAACACCACCGCTACCCACCAGCGAACCTTAGCGGTGCGACAGGGGCGGGCGCACGTACTGAGCAGCATTGCGTTTCTCTACTGCAGCATTCGCTGCCGTGTTGCGTCGTGGCACAAATGGCTCCAGTCCTTGTTCGCTTTTGCAATTAAGCACTTGCAGCCACAAATGTGCGTGTATGCGTGTGTATGTGCGTGTGAATGCAATTCTTCTTTCATTGACGAAGATCGGGCTATTCCCCCCCCCC